GTTAAATTACTTTAAATTTTCAGTCGCATGCCTTTGTACATATTGCTCACTCTTCTTCCTTCTTGAAGGAAAAAGAAACAAAGTGTTTTTATTTCAACATTTTAAAATATAAATTGGCTGCAAAAAAAGAAAAGCTAATCTCAACAACGTCATTCCACTTCACTAATAAAAAAAAGAGAAATGTTTATGAATCTTATTAACAAGTTACGTTATGCGAAAAAAAAAATTGCGTCGAATATTCATTCAAAAGGTGATTCGTCTTCTTCTTTTTTTTTTTGTTATTTCAAGGTTTTATAGTTTCATTCATCGACTTTTCTTTTTTCTTTGTTCATTCAATGTTTCTTCAAACACGAAAGACAAACAAGACATATTTAAATCAAATATGTTCGTTCGATCGATAATGTGTAGCTGTTTACTTGAAAAACTACGGTTCTTCTCATATATATATATATATATGTAAGAAAAAGAGATGGAAATTTGGTAGTCACCTTCATTTTTTTTCTTGTTACGATTGTTTCTCTCATACAAATCAAAGAAAAATGATTATATTGTTTTGTTGATGAATAAGAAAAAAAAAATGAGTTTTGATATTACAATAAATTAATTTCTTACGGACAATGTCAGTATTGATAGAAAAAAAGGTTTTGATCGGCAAACGACAATAATAGACCAAAATGAAAAGGAAATGTAAGATTATGACATAATATATATACACATGTAAAAAATATTTTTTAACAAGGCTTCCTTTTCTTTAAGATTAAATAGAACTGTATATGTTTGATTTTTACATCAAGGACAATATTCTAATCGAGTTTTTTTTTTTCACTTACAATATATATACATATTTATATATGATTACCAAATATACAATGTTAATTAGATCTAAAAATATGGTACAGACGATTTTTTGACTAAAAAAAAACGACACGTTGTAAAAACGAATTTATTTTAGATGTAAAAGTTGAAGTAAGTTTTCAAATTGAACAAATGCCTGTGGGATTTTTTTTGTGTTTTAACACTCAACAAATGACAACACTTAACCACAGATTACTGGATGAAAAAGGAATCGCCATTGAACATTCGTTCAGTTCTATTCGTTGCTAAGTGATAAACGAATACTAATGGTAAAGGTCATCAATATACTAGAAATTTAATAATAATATTCTATTGATAGAGTCATTTTACATTCGTACGAAAGGCTTGTTCAAGTTCAAGTTGTTTGATCATGAAAAACTTTCCTATGAATAATATTATGATTGCTATATTCATCTATAATTGAAAATAAAACATAATGTTACAAATAGATTCAAATACAATCTAATTTATTTATTTATTTTTTTTTTGAAAATTTCAACATATGAAGTATAATCATGTTTTAATTTAAAAATTAACTAAAAAAAAAAAGATTTGTTATTTATTTGTATATTAACGTAAATTAGCGGCATCTATAATAAACATCGAAGATTTTTGCTTAAAATCTAATCAAAATTTATTTGAGATCATTTATAAATTTCAATGAAATTAAAATTTAGTATTTCTTAACATAAATTACGTTGTTTAAAATCTTTCGAAAAAATGAACCATTCAGTACATTTCATTTCTTAGTCCAGTTAAGTTAGTTTAAACGTCGGAATTGGCTAATAACTTTTGCACGTTGTCTAGTTTATTCTATAATATTAGTTTTTTTTCTGTAGATTAATATCATCATCTCATATAATTTACTGCAAAATGGCATCATCGCAGTATAATTTTAAGAAAATTGTTACAATACCTACGGCTCAAGTACAGTCTTTGACCTTTATTTACAAAAAAAAAAGAATTTAATTGTTTTCTTTTGTTTTTTTATTTTTAAATTTAGGATTTTATTGATATTATCCTTTCGAAAACTCAACGTAAAACACCAACTGTTGTTCATAAACAATATAAAATCGCTCGAATTCGTAATTTTTATTTACGAAAAATAAAATTTACTCAACAAAGTTTTCATGATAAACTTCAACTTATTCTTACTGAATTTCCTAAACTTGAAGTAAATTATTGATTTTTGTTATCTTCTTTTTTTTTTGTTATTAAACAAAATTATTTTCTATGTAGGAAGTTCATCCATTCTATGCTGATTTAATGAATGTTTTATACGATAAAAATCATTATAAATTAGCTCTTGGTCAATTAAATATAGCTAAAAATTTAATTGATAAGTAAGAATAAACACTATCAAAGTAATTTTTTACTTCTTCTTTTTTTAAATTAGTGTGGCAAAAGATTATGGACGAATGATGAAATTTGCTGATTCACTCTATCGATGCAAATGTTTAAAACGAGCAGCATTAGGAAGGTTAGTTTATCCTATTCTTTTTTTTTTATCGATAAACAAAAATTTGACTCTTAGAATGGCAACAATTATTAAACGTCAAGCACAAAGTTTACAATATCTTGAACAAGTTCGTCAACATTTATCACGTTTACCATCTATTGATCCAAATACACGTACACTTTTAATATGTGGCTATCCAAATGTTGGTAAATCAAGTTTTCTTAATAAAATAACACGTGCTGATGTTGAAGTACAACCGTATGCATTTACAACAAAATCACTTTATGTTGGTCATACGGATTATAAATATTTACGTTGGCAAGTTGTTGATACACCGGGTATTCTTGATCATTCATTAGGTAAAAGAAAAGAATTTATTTATTGAGAGAAAAAAAAAATTTGAATGTTTTTTTATAGAGGATCGAAATACAATTGAAATGCAAGCTATTACTGCATTAGCACATCTTCGTGCAGCTATTCTTTACGTTATGGATATATCAGAAACATGTGGTTATACACTTGAAGAACAAGTATGTGAATTTAAGTTATACATTGCAACGAAAATCGAATAAGATAAATTTTTGATGTAATCGACGGTATTATTATATTCTTATGATATTTGAAGTTTAGCTTTCGATCGTTTTATTTTTATTGCAATTTTATATATGATTAATTCTTTGTTGTATTTTACAATTTGAATTGATGTAAACAGAAATTAAGAATGGTTAGAGAAAGGTGTTTTAGACAAAAATCGGTCATCTACTTTTCAATGAATAGTTTTTCTTTGTCTAGTCTAAATATGATTCTATGCTTCTGGATATACAATTTATGAAAAATTGAGATGTCGGAATTATAGGCCAGGCTTAAATTTATTTTATTAATCATCATAGAAATAATCTGTTTGTGTTAGTAAAAAAACGTAATTCAAATACTTATTGTTTTCTATTTTTAGCTCAATCTATTTAATAATATTAAAGTATTATTTACAAATAAACCATTATTAATTGTTCTTAATAAAATTGATATTAAACAATTTGATGAGTTATCTGAAGAGAAAAAGGTAATTTATTTTTTTTTTTTATTAATTAAACTGTTCTTTTTTTTTTTAAATATATTCAGGCTGTATTTGAACAATTTCGTAAAGATGATGTTCGAATTATAGAAATGAGTACTTTTTCTGAAGAAGGTGTTATTGAAGTTCGAAATGAAGTAATTTATCTTAATAAAACAAAGAAAAAAAAAGAACACTAAGAAAATCTTTTTTTATTTTTTCTAAAGGCTTGTGATCGTTTATTAGCACATCGTGTTGATATTAAATTAAAAAGTCGTAAAGTTAATGATGTTCTTAATCGTTTACATGTAACACAACCACAAAAACGTGATGAGCGTGTACGTGCACCATATATACCTGAAGGTGTTATACAACGTTTAGAATCTATGCAAGTAACAAATAATAATAATGATCAAAATGTATCAATTGAAAAAAAGAAAACTGAACGTGATTTAGAAATTGAATTAGAAGAAGATTATCATTTAGATTTACGTAAAACATGGTCATTAAAAGATAATGATGAACGTTATGATATTTTACCTGAAATATATCGTAATAAAAATGTTGCTGATTTTATTGATCCAGATATAATGACAAAATTAGAAGAATTAGAACGTGAAGAAGAAGCACGTGAACAAGCTGGATTTTATGATATGAATGAAAGTGAAGATGATGAAGAAACAACAGCTATTAGAAAATTAGCGAAAAAAATTCGTTATAAACGTCAAGTTATTATTGGTGAAGCACGATCAAAAAAACAAGCAAGACGAACACCATCCGTACCAAGACCAAAACGAGCTGTTGATCGTGAAAACTTAGAAAATACAATGAGTGGATTAGGAATTGATATGGATAATAAAGAAGATGTAAGATATTGTTTTTGCTTCTTGTCTGTTTAAAAAATGGATGGAGTATAAGAGTCATTCTCAGTTTTCATCCAATCATTTGAGTACCTCATAATGCGGACTGAAAATAAGACCATTTTCGAAGAGTTGAAACTAGAGCCGATCGAAACAAAATTTTCACTTGTGTTTCTAGAAAATTGAAAAAATTCAGTTCTGTTAAATTATAGAGCTAATTTTTGACATAAAACCCAGCCCCTCTTGTCTTTTATTTTCTAATCAAATCTTTTCTTTATTTAGTCTCATTATGTTGCTAAAGTACATGAAACACGTAGTCGTTCATTAAGTCGACCTGAAATAAAACGTAAACGTGAAGATTCGGAAGGACATGTACGTAGTAGTTCAAAAGTACCTCGTGATCAATCTGGTGTACGAGATGTAACAATGGCTAAGAAAGCAAGAAAAATTAATAAAATTAGTCAACGTAAAATGAATTTGGGTGGTAAAACTGGAGAAGCTGATAGAAGAATATTTATTAAAAAACCCAAACATTTATGTAAGTTATATTAAATTTTTTTACATAATGAAAATTTTATGTTAATTTTTTTTTTTTTTTCGTGTAGTTTCCGGCAAACGATCAACTGGCAAAACAGATCGACGATAGTCTTTGTTTTGTAGTGTTTATTGTTATGTTCTTCGGAATAAATAAAGAAAAAAAACTTTTTACGAACGATAAAAAAAAAAAACGAACGTTGTTTTCTTATGATCAATCCTTCTAGATCAATAAAGAAGAATGGCTCAACAAAAATCAATTACATTTTTCTTTAAAAAAAAACGTGAAATATCGGAAGTAGAGGAAAATGATGATGTAAAGGAGGTAAATATATTAGTCTTAAATAAATGTTGGAAATCATTTCGATGATTCTTAGTAAAAAATGAACTTTAGATAGGTTTAATTATGATCGAGTAGAATAGTCTTAAAAGGATTCGTGTCCATAGTTCTTATGAGCTGAGATATTGAATTTTCAAGTTAACTCCAATAGAGAATCCAAAATCCTTCTTATCTGCCGAAACTTGAAAATTCAATATTTCAGTTCATAAGGACTATGTACCCAAAGTATGGGCTTAGAAGCGGTTAATCACTTCGGGTATTTTCCTCATAAACCGAGCAACGAAGAATTCATATTAGAACTATCAATGTTGAAGAAAATGCTTTCAAATGCAGTTGTATTTTATTAACAAACTTACGAGGGAACGTATCCAATTGTCAGGTGCCATACGACTTCATATTATGGCTATGAATAGGTCTCTATGAGACGAAGAAAAGTTCAAAAAAGATTCGGACTCATGGCCTAGTGATGAAGAGTTATGACTGTTTTAGTAAAACTTTTATTGAGATCAAGATATTTCTGAAAAGTCCAAAACGAGGAGTTTCAAATTGAAATTTTATCTACGGGCACATTTGATAGTCATTCTCTAGATATTCAATACCCCCCCCCCCCCAAAAAAACAACTTGCAGACGTAATACGATATCGAGCGGTGTCCGACAGTTGGATATAGTTTCTCTTGTTAATGATTACAGATCATAATAAATCAATAGACATAGTATCGAATTTTTACATCTTCAAAAAGACATCATCTATTTTTAGTTATGAACAACTGTTAAGATCTTTACCTAATAAAAAAAAAACCGAGTTTTGATTGTTACATAATTTTTAATACTAAACTAGAGATAAAAAGTTTATAAGTCTTTTCTTTGATTTCTTCTAGCTGTTGCTATTAAGAAAAAAAAAGTGAAAAATACTATGTTTCAAACCTTGACCTTCAGTTTAATATTGGATAATGATTGACTATTTGTTCTCTTTTTTATTTTTAAAGCCTGTTGCTACTACACCAAAACGAATTAAAACAGCATCTAATACACCAGTAGCATCACCTTTACGAATTTCTCAATCAAATTCCAATGTTAATTCACCTAATTTATCAAAAACTGAAGAAGAAAAACGTTTAGCTGAACGTGTAGAAAATAATCGAATTTTAGCAAAAATGAAACTTGAAACTAAAACAACACGTGGACTCGTTGTTGATGTGGGTATATCATGGTATAAAGCATTTGAAAAAGAATTTTCTAAAGATTATTTTCAAAAGGTATTCGATTCTTTACAATTACAAATAAAAACAAGAAGGTAATGAGCTTGTTCTTTTTTTTTTTACTTTAATTAGTTAGCAAATTTTATTGCTGATGAACGAGAAAAAGGTGTTACAATTTATCCACCACCACATCATGTTTTTACATTTACACGTATGTGTGAATTAAATGAAGTTAAAGTTGTTATTCTTGGACAAGATCCATATCATGGACCAAATCAAGCACATGGTCTATGTTTTTCAGTACGAAAAAATGTTCCACCACCACCAAGGTTTTTATATTTAAAAACAAACAAATCTTTTCTACAAGTTTTTTTTTTGTCTAGTCTACAAAATATGTATAAAGAATTACAAGCTGATATACCTGGTTTTGTTATTCCAAATCATGGTACATTATCTGGTTGGGCAAGACAAGGTGTTTTATTACTCAATGCTTGTTTAACTGTTGAAAGAAATAAAGCTAATTCACATAAAGGAAAGGGATGGGAAAAATTTACAGTAAAAAAAAAAACAAAACAAAATTTTCTATTAATAATTAATTTTATATATATATATATATGTGTTTTTTTCCTAAGGATGCTATTATTCAATATCTTAATGATCGTTCAGCTAATATTGTTTTCTTACTTTGGGGTAGAGATGCTCAAAATAAAGGAGCACGAATTGATAAAGTATATTTTAATATAATTGATTTCAATAGAAAATTTTTTTTTTTTGATGTTTTATAATATATTTAGAATCGTCATCATGTTTTAACAGCTGCTCATCCATCACCATTTTCAGCTTATAATGGATTTATGGGTTGTAAAGTATTTCAAAAACAAAAATTTTTTCTATTAACAGATTTAAAATTTATTTATTTTCTAGCATTTTTCTAAAACAAATGCTTTTCTTAAAGCTTCTGGTCTTGCTGAAATTAATTGGGCAAATTTACCATCGGAAGATGAAATGCCATTTGATTAAAAAAACAAAAGAACATGGACTACATATTTTGACTATCATAGATTATGAATATATTTATTTTGTATAGGATTCTTCTTTTTTTTTTTTCTCTTGGTCGTTTTCGTATGTTCTCTCAGGTGATCAATTATATTTATCTAGTCTTTCTACTTTATTAAACTTATGTCAGATATTTTTTTTTCTTTTACATCTAAATTTACGTTAAATTTCTCTTGATTATTTTCAATAAAGATTAAAAAGAAAAACTTCTGTCTAACATTAATAATGATTGAAATATGGTTCTTCAATATTTAAGATATGTATAAAATCCTATTGAAAATAAATAAATGTAATCAAATAGGACACTGAAATTCTGTTGTAAAGATGTGCTATTTTTACTATCACAACAAATTGGTTTAAGCTTAGCGTCGTGCAACGAAAACTTTTGTTCGAGTCACGAATCTCATTAGCCTCGTTCTGTTTTATTTTCCAATTTGTCTTGCGGATACTCACAGACCTGGGTCCAAATCCAAAATTTTATTTTTGGGTCCGGTTACACGTTTTTGTGGAGCTTCTGCTTCTCCGATGAGAAATACAGCAACAAGATATAATTGTACATTGAGGTCTTTTTCCTGGAAGTAGCGAATAAATAACTAAAATCTTGATCTTTTACTGGTTCATGTACATGAAGGTGCTAGGTATTGACGGAAAAAACCTCGGGTTTGGTCCCAGACCGGATTCGAGTCCTCATTTTTGACCATTTCTTGTTCTCGAAGAGAATACAACAGATTCGCGTGACGCTTTTACCCATAGATACAACACCTAAAAAAGAGACAAAAAGTTTTAAATAAGACTTTCGCATTTATAATATCACTGTTGTGAGACACGATTCTATTTTTCATTATTTATAACTAGCAGATCACGATCAAATCTATTGATTGATAAAAAGCCTTACATCTTACTAGCAAAAGAGTATGAATTGATACACTCCCATTCTCATCTTAAATAAGAAACATGTGACATCTTTCGACAAAAATATTTGCTTTTTAAACTAATAAGAAAGAAGATCGAGACGGTTTAAAACCAATTTCATAATAAAATTATTAAAATTCTCAAGAAAAAAATGCTCATCAATTTTTGTACATCTCAATTTCAACCTATTCTCGAATGTCCTCAAATGCAACTTGATGGTTATCATGCTGAAAATCTTGCTAAAGATTTTTCACAAAAGTATTTCTACAATAATAATAATATTAAATATTTCGAATAACATTCAAGAAAAAGCAAAGATTTCATTTTGTTCATATTAACAGATATATAGAAACATTTTCTATTTGGATCTATTTTTGAAAGAAAATTTTATTAAGAGGAAATTTAAACTATTTATTCTCGGAAGAAAAAATATATTCAAAAGTTGAGTTGAACTAAATTAAATAATATTTATGTGTTGATATGAACAAATCTATGTTTCGTTTTTTCTCTTTAGTATTATATTCGAACATTTTCTTAAATATACTTTTTTGTAATTAGTAATGGTTTTCTAATTGATCCATTACAACGTCCACCAATTGATATTTATATTCGATTTCCTTTTAATATTGATATAAAATACATTTATCTTAGTCCATCAATAGGACATCATCGTTCAACATTAATTGAAATAAGTGTTAATCATCAAATAATCAATGAAAAAACATCATGGTTAATAAATTCAATAAATAAATCAAATATTCTTAATATTAAACAATTATCATTTCATCAAATTATTCAAATTTTAAATGAAGATGAAACAACACAACGTATTGAAATATATGATCATGATAATGATGAACAATCAACTAAGAATATAAGAAAATATAATTTTTCATCAAATTTACATTTAATTAATTGTAGTACAATTAAAATTACGATTAAACGTGCATGGCGTTTATCATCATGTGCTTTAAAATATCTTCAAATTTGGGCTAGTTTATCAAATTCTATTCCAAATGAATTAAAAACTAAACTTCAACAAATTATTTCACCTCGTTCAAATGAATTATTATCTACAAATGATAAAAATTCTTCTCAATTATCATCTAATATTGATGAAATTCCTTCTGAATTTCTTGATTCATTAACAAATGATTTAATGTTAATACCAATGTTATTACCAAGTGGTAATCTTATTGATCGAACAACATTAGAAAAATGTATTAATGAAGATATACGTTGGTGTCGTTTACCTCGAGATCCATTTACACTTGAAGCATTTACTGAAATAACACAACCAGTTGTTGCACAACAATTAAAAATTCGTATTGATCATTTTTTAAGTGAACATCAAAATGATCCAAAATATCGTAATCATAGACGATTACTTGATGCTAATCAACCTATTCATAATAGAAATTTATTTTCATATAAAAGAAAATTTATTGATGATAATGATAATCAAAGAAAAACAAAACGATAAATTTTTTTGTTTTCAGATATGTTTAAATTTAATTTTAATATTGATGAAAATAGTAATAATGATTATTCGAATACAAAAGAAGATAATATTTGTTCATCAAATCAAGAATTTGGTTATTTCGATATAAATGATTTACAAAGTATGGTTGTATATAAAAAAAGAAATCTCAAATTGGATTGATATATATTTATTTATTTATGTTTTTGTTCAAAAGAATTAAATTGACAGAAGTTTACTTTCGTAATTTTATTTTTTAAGTACTTGATAATAAATCTAACTATGCAAATCTAGGACAATAATGGAAAAGATTTTCGAATAATATCTCGAAAGCTATTGCGAAAGTAGCAGCAGATTTCTAACCGCAATGGACATCTCTGATATATCTTATGTCTTAAAATTTAAATGATAGATTTTCTCAAAACCATTTTTTTATATTCGAATATGACCTTTTTAAATCAGAAATTTTTATTTGAAGTTTTAACGATTCCCAACAACAAAGTCATAAGATTTAATATATTTCATAATTGATGAACTAAATATAAACTCTATTTACAAAAAAATAAAAATGTTGTCAAATGTACATATTATTTATAAATCATTTCTATACGTCTGATTTCAACAAAAATATCAATTTAACATTATGAACATTAATATATGTTCTAGAAAGCTAATTAATAAATTAGAAGTTACATGAGGTTAGATTTTAGATCATTTGACATTTTCTCATACTGAAAACCGCACAACGACCATTTTTTTTTTGAAGATGTTTTTTTATTTAACGAAGCAAGTCTTCCAAGTAATTAATCACTTTTGTGCCAGGGCTAGACATGTGCAGGAGCAGTCTCCATAGCCAAAACTCCTCGAACCAAAACCGAAAAAAAGCTTTGTCCTGGACATATCTAGTCCGAAGTATGTGTTTCATGTAGATCCTAATGAGTTATGAGTATCTTGAAAAGAATTCCAGCTCTTAGTTTATTGCTGCGAAGATATTGCAACTAATATCAGAAAAATAGCCGCATTTTAGAATAGAAATAATAAAAAGATCTGAAACTTTTGCAATAATCTATTCTCATTAAGGCCTGTCTCTCATCAAAATTTTGAAAATGAATGTTCCTGAGGGGAACCACACCATTGACTTAAAAAATTCCGTTGTATTGTAGTATCTCCACAGCAATAAGGTAAGACTCCGAACTCTTTTCCGGATACTCATACCTCATTAAACTCTACATGATACACATAGCTCTGATTTAAAACAAATTAAAACTTCCTTGATAAACATTAGTCCAATATTTCTTTTGAGTAACAACTCTCAATTTTTTTTTATTGTTCAATGAATATTATGTTTACTAATAAAAGACTATGAAATTATTTAGATGAAACCAATGAAGATGAAGAAAATAGTCGAAAAAAATTCGATTCATATAGATCAGATCTTGTACCGAATATATATGAAGGTAAAATTATATAATTTAATATTTAATATAAACCAAAAATTCTTTTTAGGTGGTTTTAAAACTTGGGAATGTTCACATGATTTAGTTGATTATTTAAAATCTATTATTAATAATTTTCAAGATATAACAACAGTTTTAGAAGTAAGTAATATAAAAATGACAAGAAAATCTTTCATTTTTTTTTTGATTAATATTCATATAGCTTGGTTGTGGTAGTGGTCTACCTGGATTGGAATTAAATAAACATAAACAATTTCATGTTGATTTTCAAGATTTTGTAAGTTAATACTTGTATTCAAAAAAAAAACAAACAAAGATCATGAGTTTATATTTCTACAGAATCGTGAAGTAGTTGAACAAACAGGAAAACAATTGAAAAAATCAAAAGAAAATTATAATAATCGTATGTTTTTTGGTGATTGGAGTGATTTAATAAATATTATACCATCGAAATAGTGAGTGTGTATATATAACAGCAAAAAAATAAATAAGATTTTAGTATGAAGTTCTTTTGTTTTTTTTTGTTTGTGCTTTTTAAGTTATGATATTATTCTTACTTCAGAAACAATATATAATATTGGAAATTATGAAAAATTAGTTAAATTATTCGATCATACTCTAAAATCTCAAGGCATTATGTAAGTACATGATTTTTTTTTCTAAATAAAATATTTTTAATCAAAAATCTATTGAATAAGATTTACAATAAATTAGACATAATTATTTTTTATTTGTTTAAAATAGATATCTTGCAGCTAAAGTATATTATTTCGGTGTTCAAGGTGGTATACGTCAATTTGAAGAATTTATTACTAAAAATAGTTTATTTACTACTCGAGTTATTCGAGTTATTGATGCAAGTATGGCAGAAAGTTATTTCATACAAATATATATTTAATTATATATTTTTTTCATAGATGTTAAACGTGAAATTCTTGAAATTAAACGTTCTATTTGTTGATTATTTGTTATTTTTTTTTATCGTGAATAGTAATAAACAAATATGGAGACTTTCAAAATATAGATCAATTTGAATTAGATTTTTAATAAATATGAACATCGAATTTTCATTAATTGTGGTTAATGGACATTTTTCTTTACTTAAGTCACGATTAATCATCAAAATTTATGCGATTTTGATAATATGCAACAAATTCAACCATACTCAGGTCAAAAAATACGATCTGTAAACTGCATGTCTAGTATCATAATATTTGATGTAGAAATAAGGTTGTGTCGTATTACTTACGAGAGAACCTATTTAAATGTTCAAACCGTTTAGACTCCATATTTCATCTATAAGTAGATCTCGACAAGGTAAGAAGATTCATTTCCTTGCGCATTTATTTCAGAGATATGGCTATTTTGCTGACTGTTCAGTCAAAGACATGGCACATCAAGAAAAATCAAATGAATGAATTTTGATCTGAAGTTTCGCCTATAAATGGGTCTAATGATTCGTAGAATATTTCTAATGTTTCAGTGAAAATGAATGCTCCAATATTTTGACAGGATATTCTAAAATCGAGAGTTTCTAAAAACGGTATATGTCGCTAAGGGAGCATTCATTTTGGCTAAAACGCTAGGGATATTCTACGAATCATAACATCTATTTATAGGCGAAATTTCAGATCAAAATTCATTCATTTGATTTTTCTTGAAGTACTGTGTCTTTGATCGGATACCCCTAGTAAAACAGATATATCTCGGGAATAAAAGTGCGAGGGAATGAATCTTCTTCAGATTTTTCATACATCGTCGAGTTCTACTGATGGCCGAAAGATGGAGTCTAAACAGTTTGAACACTTAAATATGTTGTCTCGTCAGTGGTGGAAGTAGACGGTGATTGGAGGAGGCTGAGTTCCCTCAGAAGAAAATTATTGAATCTATTGTTTTATTAAAAAACATAAAGAGATCAATAGAGTGTAAATGAAAATGATTATTCTTAAATATTCGATAGTATTGAGACTTGTATTTTAGAACCGAAGTCAGGAAATGTTTCGAGAAGGCTCAATCTCCTCCAAAAATCTTTGAGTTTACTCTAGAAATGAGATTATTTAATATTATAGACGAAGAAAATACGTGCTTTTCAGCTTCAAACGGAAGCTGCATCCGACAAATTCTTTCTAGGAGCTCAGTCCCCCAGAAATTTTTTCTGACTTCATCACTAGTATCGTTGTGACCGAGATTAAGAGAAAATACGGTTAGTTTACTGCCATCAAGTTACCGTTTCTTCACCGTTCATTGACAAAAAACGGACCGTAAATGATATCTGTTTTGATTCACCTGGATAGTTATCACATGGGTGGAAGTTTAATCATCGGGTTAACCGTAGTTAGTTTTTCTGCTAATTTCTTTTTTGTATCTCAGCGCATGAGTATTTTAAAACTCTTAGAAAAATGTTAGTTTTCAGTTGAAATCACATCGCCACATACATGTGAGTGCACTGATGAACCTCTAAATCAATCAAATTGGTTTTTTTTATTAGAAAGAACAAAGTTTGAACTACAAATTTTATACCAGACTTATTTTTCCAGAATGAATCTACAAAGCAAGAGAAGCTAAAAGCCAAGTACCTCTAAAAAAAAATTTTGCAACTTGAAATGTTTACATTGATATCAGTTTTGGTAAATTTTTTTAAGATCCGCTCTTGACTCTTTAATAAAAGAAATGGGAAATTGAAAGTTTTGCAAAATAGAGTCTCTTTTTCAAGAATTATCAATTTGAAAGGAGATCAATCACAATCTCTAGAAACTATGTATGAACTGAATTCTTTGTATGTTATTTGTTCGAAATACATCAGATCCTTGAAACTTAGCAGAAGAAAAGAATTCAAAAAAACCTCTTTAACTGTTACAAAACAGTTAGATAATAAGAAAGACTAAATTATACAGTGTCATCCAGTAACAGATAATCATCATTGAACGCGTGTTTTCATTTTGCTTTTGATATAAACAAAATAGACAGAGAATAGAAAATAATATTGCACGAAGGTGAAGTTGCAAGAACTTTTTTTTTGAAAGTGTTCGGTTTTTGACTTCTCTCGCTTTGTAGATTCTTTCTGAAAAAAACAAATCTGAATATAGGTCGACATTTGTGAAAAGACTTCTTTTGCGTCGCAGGTAATAAGAAAAAGTGTGGCGCCATCTAACACAATATACTGTGGTATACTAAAATCGACTTTTTTTTGAGTAGCAATCTATCTTTTCAGGTCAGAAAATATTAATTTAACAGAAAAATGATTAGAAATTTCATTAAAAAAGGAGTAATTTGTTGGCTTTTTTTAATGAGCCATGGTCAACCGTCAGTTTTGATGAAAAAATTGACGGAACGAGTTGTTTCTTACGCTTAAAATAATAGAAAAGTGTACATTCCTACTATTATCACATCTTCACAATGGTTAGTGTGTTTTAAACATCCAACATTATATGAGAGTGAGAGTGCGATGATTAAAATGAAAACGTTCATGAAAAAGAACTAAAAATAAACCTTGTTAAATAAGTTCGGTTGTCATTTTGTATTAAGAGAAAGATGAACACAAGGTTAGCATATGTGGCAAATTACTGATATGAGAGAAACATGTTTGATATTCAACACAGATAGCAGTCATTATCGGATATAGGCTATATTTAATTGAATTGAAACTTATCTCTATAAAACTGAATCAATGTCATGTACTAGAGATTTAATTCTTCGATTGTAACGATAAATATCAATGAATCGCAAGGAAAAATGTCAGAGATAAACTTGTGATAGAATGATACCCTTAGACTATATGATAGAAACTCTTCATGTTGCACATTTGTTCAAAGTACCACCGATATACACTACAGTACTCAGAAGAACCTGCAGTATACTAACGATTTATTAGCGATAATGCTTACGACTTTTGGTTTCTAGTTATAAATGATTGCAGAGAGTTTTTTTCTTTCTACTCAAATTCGAATTTATTATTAGAAAGAATTCAAAATAATTGAAAATACAGATGGCTCACATGCATCAACATTATCAGAGTACATTGAAATCGATTCAATTCTATCAATTTTAACATATTTCAAAAATATTCACTTGTTTTGATATAACAGACGATAATATAACATTTTGAAAAAAGAAACCACCAATATAACGTATATTACAAATATATTTTGTCAAATTTGAAAAATTTTAGTTTGTTTCCCTTTTCTTTTGTGTTATATTTAGTAGAATAATGAAATAAATAGAAAGAATTTATTCAATATAATTTAGCAGAATTATCTATGTTAATAACACAAATAATAACAAAATAAAGAAAATTTTATTTTAGTCTTCACGAATGTTTGGCGTTAAAACCATTCGTGCACGAAGACGATCAATATGTGAACGAATTTCTTTTAAGTCAGTTTGTAATGAATCTGTACGTCCTCTTGGTGAATCCGAAGTTGTTAGTCGTAATTTACTCATTTCAAGCTTCATTGCTTGCATTTCATCAACTAACATTTTTAAATATTGTTTTGTTTCATCATCAGTATCAACTATTCTATTATCATCTTTTAATGGAGAATATTTTGGACGTGATCGAGAAGTATGTCTTACATGACCAGATGTACCTAAATCAGGTTTTAATATTTGCTCTGTACTATCATTAGCATGATTTCGATGATGGCGACTATGATGACGATGATGTGTGGTTTGTATATAGGCAGGTGATGCTACAGTAGTTGCTGAACGGTTTTGTTGTTGTTGAAGATAAGAGTTTGAAGATAAAGGAGATGGTATATTTTGAGCAATATTGACAGGATTTTGTGGTTCAATATAAGCCATAGCTGCACCATTCATCACTTCACCATTCGGACCTGATGATGGTAGAGTTGTCTTAAGCACTTCACCTGTTGGTAATGGAATAGTTTTTGGAACATAACTAAGAAAAAAAAATAATTCAAATTGATATTGTTGTTTTTTATGAAAATATATTACATACCGATTATAAATACCAATCGGAACTGGTGGTGCTTGTTGAGCAGCTTGCCAATTTGTCGTTTGTTGTTGTTGTTGTAGAAACCATTGTTGTTGTTGTTGTTGCATAAGCCATTGTTGCTGTTGTTGTAGCGTTTCTGATGAAAGATCATGACTACTATTACTAATAGGTAATCTTCGTCTAGCAGGTGTTCCAGGTGAACGTGATCTATGTTTCCTGTGTCGTCTCAGTGTACCCTCGTTTGAACGTTTAGATGGTGAATATGATTTTTGACTTCTTCTTGGACTTTTATGTTGTTGTTGCCAATCTTCTCGTCCACTATGAAAACTACTTCTCACTGGTGTAAAACTATGTTCAGGTATTGTTGGTGTTGCAGTTTGATTGATATTTATTTCATTTTCTCGAACATGTACAGTACGTCTTGGTGATGGTTGTCGAACAGTTACTGTATTTCGATAGAAATCATTTAGCATTGGAGATTTACTTGGTGATGTAGGAGTATACATACGATTATTTCCTGATGGATACATATCAGCTGCTTGTGTAAAACGGCTTTCAAATGGACTTGAATATGGTGCTGCTGGCATTTGTTGACTATTACTTGCTTGTTTAACAATACGAAAATCGTCACGTAATAATTGTGCATCAGATGGATGAACAACATACAATAAAACACCTTTCATACTTGTTTGAAGTTCATCATAAACAATACAAATAATATTATTTATATTTGGTAACATGAAAATATCATGTACAAGTCCAATTGGAATAAAGACTGGCACACGTGATCGAGCTACGCTAGGATCTTGTGCATTTACTTGAATACCAACTCGATTAATACGAATCCAAACGGCCGTTGCTATAATAAATAAATTCAATAAAATCAAAACTTAAACAAAAAAAAAAAAAGAAGACGAATTGCATACCATAAGGTTGACCAGCTGCAGCATGACTAATAATACTCCGAATTGTATCTGGAGTATAAGAACTAACTAATGTTGAGTTAAGTGGATAACCTGAATAACGTCGTGATGCAGGACCATCATTCGTATTATTATTATTATTATTATATGCCAGTAAGTTATTCATAGTTTGTTTATATTCACAAGGAAATTATCCTTATTACTTTTATTATCTAAAATGAATACAAACGACGTTCTATATTACCAATAAAACTAAATAGGTAAATGATGACCGATATCTCCTTCATCGAAATGCTTTTTATACTAAAACAATCGTTGACTACTTCGTTAATGGGTGAACGTGCATGTTAGACACATATACATACATAAACATATATTATCTTTACACATCAATAGTCACGCTTCACTTGCTGATGTCTCCTTTTTTTTTCGTATGCCTTTTAACAAGCACACACAAAAGAGTCATTAAATAGTACATACAACAAAAAAAAGTTTTGCAATCTGATTTGATCAAATGATTGATTTTCGCTTGCATTGAATCTGTCGTCAATCCGTATCGTAGACTTGGGCTTCATATAAAATGTTCTTTTTGATCTATTATTATAAATAAATGTGAAACAAAAAAGAAAGAAAAAGACTCATAAAAAATGTTGTTTTTATGTTTATTATATACATATATATATATATATATATAATGTTACACATAATTTTTATATTGACAAATTTGGTAAATCATTCAAATATTAAAAAAAAAATTACTAATTATGATGAAATAAGATAACGAATATTTCGATTTTGTTTCCATTTATTTTGTATTAATTTTGTATATTTAATAAAAATAATTGTTGTGGGCATACTAAGAAAACCAAAAACCACATATGACGATGAAATATTTGTTTTTTGTTTGTCTATTTTATACCTAAATATAATGATTCCTATTAAAGCACATAGACCAGCGGCAATTCGAGCTTCGAACTAATAGAAGAAAAAAGAACCATGAAAGGTGTACGTCTTTTGTTTTGTTTTTTTAAATTTCCCTTTTACTTACAGAACGAGGATATATATCACCATAGCCTAGCGTAGTTAATGTAATAAAAGCAAGCCAAAATCCATCTAAAATATCAAAAAAAAAATTTTTTTTTTCTATATCAATCTATTTTTCTAGACAGAAAAAGACCTTTCTAGACAGAAAAAAGACCTTTCTTTTAATAATAATTCAAGGCTAACAATTTGTATTTTTGTGCATATAATAAATAGTGCTAGCGAAGGTCTTGTAAATATACAAACACTCTTTCACATTACTCTTGCGAGTGTCTCTAGTTGAATTCAGCATATTAATAGTCAGATATATGTTGAATACTGCGTACTATTCAAACCAATGACCAGATTTGATTCAATATAAGTCTAAAATTAAGTATTTTTTTTTGTCAGTGATATTGTCAGACTATATAATGTTATCATTGTAATCAAATATTACCGAGAATATTTCTTGTATTTGATTCTGGTTCTGAATTATCGATGATATAAATCAATGTACCAAATAATAACATACAGAATATTACTAAAACAAAAAATCTTCATCTTTCTTTCTTTCTTTAATAAATTTTTACCTGAAATAATCAATGCACAAATTTCATTTAAACAAATAGCTATTGTCTTATATAATAATCTTAAACGTAACATATATCGTGCTAAACGATAAATACGAAATGATTTTAAAATAAGTAACCAATAATAAAATGAAAGAAAATTATTTATATAACGAATATTATGTAAATGATAACTAATTAAACAAATTGAACTTGATAAAATAATTATCTAAAAAAAAAAAAATTTTTTTTGTCTTATTCAAATAAATTTATACTTTTTACCAAATCGAGAAAATTAATTATATCATAAATAATAAGTGAAAAATTTGGTGCTGATATTATTCGTAAATTTAATTCAATAGAAAATATTGTTATAGAAAGAATTTCAATTATATAAAATGAACGTATATATAATGGAAAAAATATTTGTTCAACATTAAGTATATTTTGAAGTTTATTTAATTCAGTTACTGTCGGTATAATTCTAGAGAAAAAAAATTTTTTTTTTTTGTAAATTTAAAAAACAAAAACAAGAACTTACTCTCCTATAAATGGTATAGATGATAATAATGTTGTTAATATGCATATTCCTATTACTAATTCACTATATGGAAAATGAATACTTTCTGGATACATAAGAGTTTTCCAGATAATACGACGCCATTTTTGTACTGGTAAAAAACGAATATTATCTAATGGTATCTAATATTTTGTTTATGTTTTTTTTTGAAAAGCAAAAATTATAATGAAATATTGATGATAAATAAAAAAAAAAGATTTACCATGTCTTCTTCAATAAATGTTTCAATTAGACTTTCATCTATATTCCAAAAACGAAGTTCATCATAAAAAATTTCAGGTTCAATATGAGGTGGTCTATTTTTAAAAAAAACCAGACAATCAAGAAATAAATGAAATTTTATCTACCGAATAAGAATTCCAGGATTTAAATAATAATAAAGTATAGATTCAAATATAGATGGATGTCGATTAAATCTATATACATGTAATTTATTATCGTAGAATATACGTCGTTTATCTTCATTACCCAATAATGTTTCAGGAAAAACTTTTAACTGAATAAAGAAATAATTTATAATTTTATTTCAATTCTTAAAAACATAAATAATTTTTGAACTTTAAATTATTGAGCTTTCTGACTATCAAATAGTTTGATGAATAGACTTTATCTCGAAAACTAACAATTAACAGAACTCATTAAGGATGTTGCTCTCTTTTTGGCCATTTCTGGTTCTCGAAAAGAGTATCACAGATCGAGCGCATAAAATAAGGAGACTTCATAGGACTCGCTTATACAGTTCGACGGTTTCAAAAAATTGAAACCCTTAGATCATCAGATAGATACAAAAAATCTTAAATCTATGTTGAGCGACTTTTATTTTTTCATTCTTGAAATTAAAGGTTTCAGTATATATGTATAATATTGTTTTGTTTAAGTACTGAAATATATGATGCCTTTAGTCTTAACAATTCAATAGCGAACATATATATCAAAATAGATTTAAAATTTCTGTATCTATCTGAAGATTTAACGATTCCGAGTAATTTTTGAAACTGCCGAGCGTTAGCTGCTTACCGCTCTTGTCTGAATTTCTCTGATCGGACTGAAATTTTTTTTTAGAGATACCGCAGATTATGTCTTAGGGGTGATTTTATGCTTTTTCAAAAATCTGGCTTTTGTTTTTATGAGAGAAATAAGCAAAGGTTCGCATCCAAAACCAGGGTACTAGCGTTCTATAAATCTGGATGAGAACGTTAAAAATGGCTCATTTCATCTTTGAAGAATATTTCCAAATATCTGCAGTTAAAATTTCAGCCCGATCGGACACAGTTAGATAAGGATTGTAAGCAAATTCGATCTGGTCCAATGGAAAACTAAGGTTTTCGAGAAAAAAAAATTACGAAAATCCTATTTAAAATTCTTTTCGTCGAACACGTGTTTCTTTATTTTAGGTACTGTATCTGTCATAAAAATTTCATGTAGATTTATTGTATTCTCTTTGAGGATCAGAAATGACCAAAAAAGAGAAGGATACCCTTAAAAACATCTCCAACAAAGGGGGAATTGTACTGTTGAGACTTCCGATTAGTGAATCTACTGTTTTCCATACTGCACGTTTATTCACACTGCCGTCGATATTGTGGCAGTAGATTGCTGATCATAGAACAACTATTGGCATACCACGATAGAATGACAGTTAGAGAATAATCGACTGTTTAAGTATCAAGGTGCCGGCGATTTTTTTGTCCGATTTGAATCATATGGATTCTTTTTGCCTAAACCTAAGAATGCATACGTTTGACAAGTGTTCTATGTGGATAGAGATAAACAATAATAATTCTGTAAACTAGATAAATCGCGAAAACTTAAGAGGTAAAATACAAGGAGAAAGTTATTATATCTTTCTTTCTTCGAAAAAATGAAAGATTCACAGTAACAGCGTAGACACTTGCCGAATATGTCCCTATTAAATGGTTCTGATTTCTTACGAGAGACGCTTTCCAGCTGATTAATCTCTTTTGAGTCAAGATCACGTGCATTTTTTAGAACCAAATGAACTATAAATACTTAGTTTAGACTCGTAGCTTATTGGTACCAAGATACTACATTTTTAGAGTAGTTTTTAAATGACTATTGTGGTCCTCCTCAGAAACATCAAGAAAACTAATTTTTGAGTTTCGACTTGAAACTTCGCATACAGACAGGCCTTAACGAGAATAGTTTCTTGTCGCTATTTCTATCTGAAGACACAGCTATGGTGAAAGCGTGCCGTTTACATGGCTCATATAAGCCAGCAGATTCGATTTTCTTATTTCAGGATAGAAGCAAATCGAAAAATCAGAAACTTTTACAAAAAGCCTACTCTAATTAGACCTATGTTTGTATAAAGTCTCAAGCCGAATTTTGAAAATCAGCTTTCCTAATGTTCCCAGGGGAAGTTACGGCATTCATTTAAAAGCTACCATTAATTTGCAGTATGTCCACAGCAATAACCCAAGGATCCAATCTCTTTTCAGGTTATTCAAAAGCAATTTATCAATTAGGAGACTTCTCTTGTCAATTAGTTAACATATTAAAGACATCAAGTGCAAGCACTTATATATGGATACACTGGATAAAACACTAATATCAGTACTATTATGATCGATATTTGCAGCTCTTTTATATCCGATTATTTCATAATCAATAGTGATGGAGACGCTAGTAGAAAAAAGTTTAGACTGAGTGTTAGTCAAGAATTGTATGTCGTTTAAAAGCATTTGACAGAGTAAGAATAATAAAATGTTCCATCTTAAAAAAAACTTGATGATGTAACTTACTCGTCTTTTTTATTCGATAAGAATAATTGTATTTAGTAGTTAAATCAATCGGAAAAAAAAACAAATAAAATCTTACTTGACGATTTTGTACAATAAATTTTTTTCCTGAAATCATAATTGTAATACGATCTCGTTGTTCATCTTTAAGTAATGGATGAAGTTTTATTAATTGTTGAAAATTTGATATTTCTCGTGAATTCATTTTGTTTTTTTTTTTGTTATTTAGAATCAATATTTTAGTTGCTAAGCTATTTTTTTTTAAATTCATCACTGAAAGAATGAGAACTATTGTTTATTTGTCATGAAGAAATATAAATAAAAAAAAAATGAAAACAAATTACAAAAATAGAATTTGAAAATGTTATTGTTGATCATCTGATCGAAATGATGGATTTTCTTCACCATGTATATTATTTATTATTGAACCTGATATAGTTGAAATAGGTTGAGATCCTATGTGATTAATAATTTGTTGTTCTTCTTGTTCATCCTCATCATGATTATTTTGTTCAACAATTGGCATTGGAGATGTTGTAGCAAGTGAAGTATAATTAGTTGGCATTAGATTTTCTGATACAATTGAACTACGATCATTACTTGATCCTGCTATTGATATACGATATGCAGTAAGTATATCAAGATTACATAATGGACAATGACGATGATTAATTAACCATGGATCAATACATTGTTGATGAAATCTATGCTGGCAAGCTAAAAAAAAAAGAATTTTTTTTTTTTTGTTTTTTTTTTGTTTTTCTTCTTACTTAATTCTCGTACAGTATCACCTTCTTTGATTGTATCTAAGCATACAACACATGATTCTTCTGTTTGAAGATCTTCATTTATAGTTACTAATGGTATTCTTGTTAAAGCTTTTTTAGCTGCATTTATTAAACGATTTTCTAAACGATCTTTCGTTGTACGTGAACGATTTTGTTGAATACAATAAAAAATACACCATGAAGAACATACACATATAAGTATAGATGTTGATATAACTATAAATATAATAGCTGCTCGAGAACCATACCATAAATTACCTTGATTTAAATCATCATAATTTCCATTTATTGGTTCTAATGTTATATTTAAATGTGTTCGATTATCATTAGCTAACTGGAATAATAAAGAACCAACTGATTGTTGAACATACAAAGATAATATATCTGAATCATTTTGTATAATAGCTAATGTATCTTGAGTAGTAGCTTGAGGATCATAGATGATAACAGCTACAATAAAAAACAGCAGATATTATGTTCTTTATTACAGAATTGAATCAAAAGATAGGAAACTTTTACACAACGCCATTCATTTAAAAACTACCATAAATTTCCAGGATCGATGAAACAATAAGCTAAAGATCTGAACTCTTTTCATGATATCCGAAACTCATAGTCCCGATTCAAAAGTGATTAATCAGTTAGCGAATTTTCCTCGTAAGATTAGTACCATTGAATATGGATGGTCAATGAATTTGATCGTCATATTTGATAACATATCACATTTCTATTAAACATAAAATTCGATAAATTGAAAATTTAATTTCTTCTGAAAAATCTATCATAAAACTATAAAACCTTATCATAAAATAACTAAAAAAAAAAAGGTTAGTTTGTTATTGAATATCACTTAAATGAAGAAGTCATATTAACACTACATTAACAATATATCAATAGCTTTTTATTATATATGTGCAAGATAGAACTCCTTTTAAATTCGACACAAAACAACAACAAAATATTGAATAATAAATTCTAATATTCATTTTATTACTAAAAGTATAGCACATACTTGTTTTTTTCTATGAAGTAAATAGTACATTTATTTATATTTAAAAATGATGTCTTCTATATCTGCACGAGGACATAATGTTCTGAAGTATTTTTATGAACAAGGAAATAAACATAGTAAATTTTAGGAAAGAAAATAATTATTCTATGACATGCAATACATGGCCTTAAAAATCCTTCCTTGTTTGGTCAAAGAATATACTGAAAAAAACTCTACAATTTTGTATATACAAACGAAATTTCATACAATCATATCCTACAAATGTATATCTATTTATTGGCAATTTATAATCTTTTCAACGGGAAGGTGGTCACCTCCCGTCCTTTGAAATTTATGTATGCCATATCCTAATTTCTATGAGATTTACAGAGACCAGAAGTATGCATTTCTCACAATTTTTAAGTTTAAAGTATTCGCATTCTGAAATGAACGATTCCATAGAAGAACAACAACTTCTCTATGCTCTACATAAAAAATAGCCAACGATCATGTCAACGGTTCATTTGTGTCCATTTGATCCATGATTAATAAGTATGCAATACAGTAAAAATTCATGTTCTAAATCATATTCGAAGCAACGGTACCTTCTTCCCGAATATCAAAGTCTCTTTTCAAATTTATGCAACATCATCGATGACAACAGTCACAAGCGAGCGAAGTTTTTTTTCGATATTAAAGCTGATAGAATCATATTTCCAAAGTTCCATGAATAAAAATCGTCTAAATGAATTAACTATAATGTATGTATATTTAATGATTCATTTATCAAAAACGAAAAAACATAGAAAACTAGAATTTCTAATATAATTTATTTTTATTCTCATACGTCATAGTATAAATTTCAACAGTTGTTAATAGAAAAATTATCATGAAAATTGTCCATAACTTATTTTCCTCTGACATGCTTATTAACATTACCTAGATTCGCCCGTGTATTTTTTCTAGATATTAATTAAACAACTTTTTCTTTGCTTCATTATATATTCTTATTAATTACAAATTATAAGTTAAAGAATAATTTTCACCACATGACATATATTTAAGAAATACTTCTCTGCTTTCATGTTTTATGAAATACGATCCGAAAGCAGTATTGAAATAATTAAAGATCCAATGTATGAATTATTTCTTTATTGTGTTAATGAAGAAATATGCCTCAAAATAGATTGAATAAAATAATCTTTCTGTGATTAGCAAGTACAACTACATCATGTTTCACATTTTAATCCCACAGGAATTACGCTAACAGTTATTTTTAAATTATAAATAATTTTATCTGATCTATATATCAATATCATATAATCTGAAATAGCTTCTCTTATATGATGTTTCTTTTTAGAATAAAAGCAGCTAATAATATCAGACAGGTAAAAGTGTTCTGAGCAAATAACTCCCTTGTTTTATTTGCTTACCGATTCACAAAAAACCACGCAACTCCTTTCTCCAAATCCGGTCTATTTAAGCTAAAATTTCCTGTTAACTTTCTAAACCATCACACCCCTTCCCTCCCCCCAATACTAGCGGTCCTAGGTCATCCCTATAGAGAAGCCACAAGTTCATCGGATGATTTACAATCTTATGAATTGAAAATAGGAGATTGTTTTTCACATACTATGTTACATTATATCTATTACAACAATCTATACATAAATTACCTGCAGCACCATATTGTTTTGCACGTGTAATTTTAACACTAAATGTACAATTTCCACCACGTTGTATAATAGCAATACCGTTAGAATAATTCAATGTATTATTTGCTTGATGACAACCATCATATTTTCCATTTGAATCTACTAATGTAAATGCTGGTCCTTTTAGAACATGCATTCGACTACCATTTATTGAAACAACACCATTTGTTTGATTTTCGTATGTTATATTTGAATAATTTGATGATAAAGAATAATATTCATATGTAATTATAGCAGTCATTTCACTATGAATTAATTTTGGATAAAATATAATATATAATAATAATGTATTTATGAAATTTGATAAGAATGAATGTTGATAATTTATCATATTTTTACCGGGACGACGATACAATTCTTTATTTTTCTAGAATAAAAGCGAAAACGTATAAAACACTTCCTTTTTATTTTTGTCTACTTTTTAACCTTGACCGATTTTTAAAAAATTATTGACATATGAAAGCCGGTCATTTATGTAAAAGAAATAATAATAACAGATGGATATTAACGAAACAAAAAGAAAGAAAGAAAGGGAAAAGAATAATTTGATAATCTTTTGACCCTTTCGTCTTTTGTTTTCTTTTATCAACTATAAAAAAATGTTATAGAAAATCATAAAGATTAGTATAAAATCTTTTAAAAACTAATTTTAATTAGCAAAATATATATGTTCATTCGTTTTTGTTTTTTAAACAAAATCATAAATTATTATGTAACTAAATGATTATCTTTTGACATAATAAAAATATGACAAAAGGAAACGTCTTGTGATTACAATCACCTCATGACTTTTACTAAATGGTATTATTATAATAAAGACAAGAGAAAAAGAGAAATATACGCATAATATCAAGGTTGTCTGGCGTTTATCCGTCAATAAATGTAATACGACACTTGCTGTAACTAAAGTATGAAGAGTAAAGGCCACTAAGCCTTTTAAAATGTTGCGGAGGTTGGTAATTATTCAGAGATACAATACGTATATAAAAACATCAAATTGTATAAAATGTTTTGATATAAAAAAAAAAGTACAATCAACACGTATTTGTTTAGGTCCTTATTGTTTTCTTTTGTCTACATTAGTAAAAAATACACTTCTCTATAGATTTTGGTTTTTCTCCGTTTAATACGTAAAAAAAAGAAATGTGTACGAACAAGAAAAATAAAGAACAAAAAAGAGAAATAGACATAGAAAAGGAGAGCACAAGTGTTTGCGAACGCATATACATAAACAACTTTTGTTTTCTTTATAATATTTATAGGTATTATTTGCAATGTGTTCTTTCACATTTACTTACCATGATTTTAATATAAACATCCAACAAAATATATTCTCTTATTTATTTTTATTTTGAGTTAACAAGTTATCATAGAAAATAAACTATTTAATAGAATAGAAAATACCGCTTGAAAAGCGATTAGCTAACCTTATATTCATTGCATGTCTGTATTTGTTACTATCACTAAAAAAAATGAATGTCAGTCACGCGCATCTAATGATAGATAATTATCTTCATTTGACGGTGCATATTTTTGTTTTTTTTTCTTCTACAACCTGTATAAAAAATAATAAACTTTGCCTGTAAAGTCATCCTTAGCCAAAAAAATAAAAATAAAAAGCCAAGGCGAGGACACGTTCTTTTATCTGATGAGTCATAAACATATTTTTACAATCAAAAAGATTTTAGTTCATACTTGAACAATCTATTTTCGATGTTTACTTTTTCAAAAAAAATAAAATAAAATAAATTACGAATAATAATTACTTTATTTTGGCATTATTGAATGATCAAATTTAACAAAATAATATCACAATTTAATATACAAACTATTGTTACTATTTAAAGCTTTTCAATGACCTTTTGCTATGTGTGTGTGTGTGTGTGTTTGTAAGATCAAGTTCTTATTGTGTAGACAACACATCGTTTGTCTAGATGATAGATGTTATTGAAAAAAAAGAATCGGATCATTTACCAAATACTATTGTTTGAACTGGTAATAAATGATTGAACATCACGTTTCGTAAAAGAATAGAATGGTACAATAAACATATTAATATTATTCATAGAGATGATAATACTTTTAATTAAGCCATCGTGTCATCTAGACAAAAGATAAAAAGCGGCTAGTTCTTTTTTTTTTCTTCAATCAAATACACCTATAATCATCATCATCATCATCAACAATTCAATTCGTGCTGATACGAATTATTTATTCAATGTCTATATGACGCGACAACGACATCAGTTAAAACAAAAAATTGTACGTGTTATATTGATGATGAACAAAAGAATTGTTGATTTCCTTTTTTTTCTTCCTACACCACTAAGCCTATAGACAAATATATTTGACAATGAAAAAAAAACGAGAAGAATCAATATAAAACCTGCGTTGTTATATGCATTTATTTAACTCATATGCTAATAGTACTTGTTAAAATTCAAGATATGCAAAACGAATATATGTTCAAATTCAATGTTTAACAAAAATCATCGAACCATATTTAATAAATGAATAAATTTGTGCAAGAAAAAAAAAGCAAAATTACCCCTCCCCCCCTATAATATAAGACCCCCATCCTCCTTTGATAAATGAAGCAAAAGACATATTAGAAGATTCCTCTCACAAAATCGATTTTTTTAAAATAATCTCTGAAACCGAGTGGCATTCTTTAGACTTTAAGTCCATAATGATGTCTAAGTTCAGTATGAACAATATTTTACTTTCCTCGTGATAACAATCTGTCTGTTCCAAGTTAGAAAAATCTTGAGAAACAGCTAATAGGAAACAACTATTTATAAAGTAGTATGTTTTTTTTTTTGAAAGCATATCGTGAAGTCATTTCAATTCTTCTTTGCAGCTTACTCTATGAAAATTCATTAGTTTCTATATGCAGAAAAACCTTTCTATGACCGTACGATCTAGTGAGCCAAGTCCACATTCGCGGGTGTAGCACATGAAGGGTTCTTTGTAAAATAGTAACATATTTGATAAAATTTCATTTTGTATTAATTATAAAGTTTGTTCGTCTATAAATTTCTTTTAGAGGTTCAGAAACGTCTTTATTCCAAAGCAAATTTTTATAGTTGAAGAAAACCTAACTTCATGTATATACTTCGAAGTTTGTTTGGTGAGTACTTATGAGTCTGAGAACGAATTTATTTTTTCAATACGACCCGGGACATAAAAGAAAACACAGAATGTGTATTCAACTGGTTTTTTTTTCTACAAATTGTTTCTTCAGAAGACAATCATATTGATCGAAGTTAACTTGTGGCCAATAATCATATTAGTGGTAGATTTCATCGGAGTTAATTCCATCTGTACTAATCAAACCTCAACATAAACAGTTGCCTTAAGTAAATTCGACATAAAGAAGATCATTCTCTTTTTTCATTTTAGTTATTTAGAAGATAAAATGTTCCCAGTGACAATAGAATTCTTGAGAAAAAAAGAATTCTATTGAATATGGTACCAAGATATTAGGGAGTATTGCCTGTACTGTTCTTAGAACACTTCTTACTAACGATGACCTTCTTCCTTATCACAGGATAATATATGATTCTTTCTCATTCTGCGCACGAGGTATAAATAAAATAAACTCGTTTTACTAATAGTATATTGGACAAAAATTGACTAGAATCAAAATTTGTTGGCGATACTGTCAAAAAATAGCTTTTTGTAAGGGACATATTAGAAGACCCCTTGTAACTTTTGAACGATAAGACAAAATAGAAGGTCCCGGGTCTTCTAATGTGTCCGAGGCTTTAAGTACTTCATATCGATTTGATATTTTCTATTCTTTTTAAAGCCATCATAACGTTACAATTGATTAGAATCAGTCAAAATGCATATTAAAATTTTTATTTTTTTTTCAAAATTTCTTCTAAACAGTTTATCCTCCCGTTTCGGTCCCATTCTAGTTCGCTCATAATTCATCAAACTAAAAGGAGATAATAAACTTTCAGTTATCTTCATGAAATTCCACTTAAAGGTACCCCGTGCTCCTTTCCTGATCCAAAATTTTTAGTTTTTATGTTAGGGTCAGAAAGTACAACTTTCTTTGCGATTTTCAAACAAAAAATTGAAGTTTTCTCCAATACGGTAAGACCGACTGGGCTCAAACTTTTTGTATGAGTTGGGGTTTTTTTCTCTTGAAAATATTGTACCTACGAAATTTGGCAGATTTTACAAAATTAGCACCATCCTTAAAAAAGCTTTTTTAATGATATCTCCAGTGTTTTGCTTCTCCTGAGCGTCTGGAACAAAATATTTTTCAAAGAAACAAAAATAAGTATCCAGATTTGTCACAGAAAAAATTTCAGCCTAAAAAAACTGTGCGGTAGATGTTTGCAACGAGGAAAACTTCTGGTCATTTTTGACTCTCCACCTTTCAAGATCTTCGGGAAGAAAGCATTTAGGAGTTTTGAGTCTACAACAACTTTTATTCTACTCATCGAGATTTATTCACCCTGAAAGTTTTAAAAATTTTCCTCTAGTCGTTCTCGAGAAACCTCGGAAACCGGCGTCCCCTTAAACTAAATGACGCATTAGTGATCATTATTAAGATACATTTATTGAATACGAAAGACGACCAACAAGTAATATGCAATTCACAACTATACATCGTAATGCACCTATACTTAATTATGAAAGCTTTCAATATACAATTAAATGCAAGTACAAAAAACAGCATCGAAAAGCGTTGTCGTGTAAGATCATGCACAACTTCTTACCCTTCTCAATGAACATACCAATGGCAGGCTAACAGATTTACAATTAACAATTCACAGCGACAAAGCTGTAAAAACAAAGAATTTTTATATAGACTTCAGCCAATATTCTTGTGTTCCTGGATTCAGTCTGATTTATTTTTTTATTTTGAATCTGGAATGTTTATTAGAAAAAAATAATTTTTTTACATTAATAATACATATATCTATTATTATAATTCATCTTCTTCATATTTATTGCTTGAAATCGATAATGATTGATTTGTTGCTAAACTTCTCTTCTCTATTAAGTATAAGTATATTATCATTGTAATCGAACTGAGAAATCATCAAATGGGATCGACTCAAAGACTGTCCCTTCTAAACGAATAGCATTCAAATAAAAAAGAAGAAAGATTTTATAATATCGAAATACATAAAATTCAATTATTAGCAAATGTTTATCTACATATCCTCTTATTACTAAGAATAAAGTCTTATCTTTATTATTCAAAATCAATCGAAGAATTTATTTTGAACAAAAATGATAATTATAAACATACACCATCGTTTTTATTCTCTTTCTAATAAGATACGATGTTGTGCATACATATTATAA